TTTTTTTTGAAATTGAGCCTCCAATTGCCAGACCTTTATCTTTTATTGATTGGGCCCTCTTCAAGACCCAGCCCACAGGTTTCCCAATATGAATTTCAACCCTATTTGATAGCCCATTGACATATCTCTCTTCTCTCATCGTCTTCATCTTTTCCTGTTTGTTTAGACATGGAAATTCCGGTTTCAACATTTCCTCCTTTTCTTTGATCGTGCCTTCATGTTGCAGTTCAACACCTCCACGATTTCTATTCATGGCTCCCTTTGGAAGATTAAGTCCTGCTACAGTTTTCTTGTCACCGAGCATCTTATTTATCGGATCCACTACCATTAATATAGAGTCCATTGAAACACCATATCCTGTCGCACCAACCCACAAAACTTCGGCGTGCTGATGCTGGATTGTATTCTTCTCCTTCCATTGGTGGTATAGTCGGTTCCCTAATTGCAGCAGATCGGGGCTTAAAAACTGGAGTAATCTGGTGTAAATAGTTGTTGGGCCAGCTTCATTTTCTTTATTCAGGCCCAAATCTCCTGGGATTTTATTAAGTAAAACTTTAGAGTTTACTTGTTGGGCCATATTTCTACCACAATCCAGACCCACTAAATGTAGTGACAGCTCTTCCACCCTCTTTCCTTGAATCAGCCCATTAACCAAGCCTCCTTCCTCATCTCGTGATGAAGCGCCTCGTCGAGGAATTTCTTCTCTCACAGCACGCCCATGCCTCACCCTCTTCTGATTCATGGAATCGAGTATGGCTGGTGTTGGAATCTCCAAATTCCGCCTGTGATGTTTAGCGAATTCATCCGTGACTTCGAAAATCGCTGGCTCTGGTGAGTTTTCTGCTATCTTTCTTTCCTTCTTCGACTCCAGATCGGAGTCTGTCNCTCCATAGCTTCTACTCTAATTTCTATATTCTCCTCCGCCATCAGAATCGAGTGCTCTGATACCAATTTGATAGGACTCCAACTGATGAAAATAACAAACGAGAATGATATTGAATTAATACTGAAATTACAGTGCAAATGAAAGATAAATTCTAAGCATTCGAGAGGCTTAGATCTCTCCTAATTGGCTACTCAATATTTGCCTGCTTATCCCCTAACTTCTACCCTTATTTATAGATCTATTTTCTAACAGAATTCAGTTTTCCCTCCCCCCCACCTGCAGGTAAATTCTTCTATTCCCTTCTAGAATGAGTGAGGTGGATGGGAGCCTATCAGATTGCTATCCACCTTTTGCTCCAACACACTTACTCGATCTGCCAATGTCATGATTTTAATTGGTGCTCTAATACCAAGATGATAGATCCAATTAGTTCCAACAAAGAAGAATGGAAAGGAAACGGGAACTGATTTGTATTAATTGAATGAAAAAGTTACAACTGAAAATGGAAATCTTAAGAGGCCATTCAAGAGGGCCATACTCTCCTAATTCTACTTCACTCACAGTGTTCTTGCTTACCAGACTCTTTGCCAACATTCTATCTATAAACCCCCCTGGTAACTAACTTCCCGTGCCTCTAACAGAATTTGTTACTCTCCCACGCCCTTTGGATCCTTCTAGAATATGTGTATTTGATTGGAGGCCTATCATAATCCTTATTGTCCACTTACCCGTAAACAAAAAATTAGTATGTAGATCCACGTGTGATCTTCTTTTCTCACAATAAAGCAACATTTTCTCAACTAAAAGATCATTGCTAGCCAACTAACAATGAGGGGAAAAGGAAACAAGTGCTCAATTATTCTCCATATGTTAAGACATAATGTACCAGAACGGAAGGCTACTTTATCTATTAAGCAATGTGTACATTACCTGCAATTTATTTAGCAGTACCATCTGTGATGAGTGTTTTACTCATGTTTCTAATGTCATTTAAGATTAATAATTTGTTGATCTTTTAGAGTTTTAGAACCCTATGATGTGTGTATTCATGTTGTGTTATGGGTTAGGTGACAAAGGCAAGTTTTGGAGCTTGAAAAAGAATCAAAGAGATCAAGGAAAGAAAAAAGACTCGGAAGTATGCTAAGAATGCAAAAAAAAAGAGGCTACGATGAAGGAAAATGAAGTAAGTTAAATCACAAAGGCAGCGCCTAAGAGCTACCTCAAGGGCGCTCAAGCGCCAACCCAAGTCACAAAGAAGTTAAAAGTATGCAGACTTGTAGCACCCAGGCATAGGAATAGCCAGAAGAGATTTAGAACTTGGGCGCCAAGGCCCCACACTTGCAGCGCCTAGGCGTGACCCCAATGCAGAGAAACAGTAAAGGTTTTCACAGATCTGGAGCCTAGGCATTAGGCAGTTTGCTTACACGACGCCCAAGCGCCGCATCTAAAGAGCCTAGGCACTCCGCTATAAATTGTAGGGTTGTTTTCATGACGCGTGAAAAGCCAGAATGATTCCAATCCGTCCAGAACTTGAACAAGACATAAATACAACTTGAGAAGCACTTTCTAAGGAGAATTCAAGGAGGCAAAAGCAAGATATTAAGCAAGAAAGCAAGATCAACATTGCGAAGAAGATTAAATCACTACCAAAAACAGTTTTTCTATTTTCTTTTATATGTTTTTTATTATGAATTTGATTACGTCTCTTTCATCTATCATGAACTAATCTTCTCATCTAGGGTTTCAAGTAATCAACACTTGAAACCATGTTTTGATTTTAAATAGTAATTTCATTAAGATTTTCCATTACGTTTATTTGTTTTATTTGAATTTAATGCTTTCAATTAACTGGTCATTAGGGAACCTTAGACGTGATCTTAGAATAACACAATCTAGAAAATTATAGGTTTCAAGAGAAAGTATAATTCCTTTGAAGCTGTTCCACATAAGAATCATAAAACTTGATAATTCTTGGATTTTAATTCGGAATAGAGATATTGAAATTGAATTCTAAGAATAATTTTTACTCGGCATTCAAAGAGAATGAATAGATTTACATTATGGTTCTTGCTTATAAATTTGGAAAAATTAATTAGACATAACTATATAATTGAGAAACATAGTCGATAGTTAGATGAAACCATAACCCTGGGCTTTCTCATATTGATTAATTCTTCTAAATTGCATAAAATCGTTGAGTTCGTCACAATATTCACCTTAGATTTAGTTTTAAAACATTGATATTCAAATTCGATTGTCTAAATAAAATAAGGGCTATTCAATACAGAGGAGGCTGGCATTCGTGAGTTAGATGCATAATTTCGAGGAAGAACCTTGTAATATGTTCCTGATGTGTGAAAAAGTTGTTCAGATATTCTTAAACTAGTGCAGTTAGGCGACATGTAAAGATAACAGGCCAACCTGAAATTGCTGGAATTTTTCACCATCAGCTGTCAACTGCAACCTCAAATTTTTTTCAGTTGCCAACAATTGTGCCACTTGTTCTGCATACAATTTCATTTGGGATTGTTCCTGCTTCAGCTTCTCTTCTTGTTGCTGAAGTTTCAAATCAGCAAGCTGAAGTTCAAGTGTTTTTTGTTTCAACTGCAAAGAAACCATATTAGAATTTTAACTCTCACGCCAAAACAAATAGATAACAAAAATTTTCTGGATCTTATAAATAAGCAGAAATAGTGCTATACTTCAAAGGTGGTTACCTTCTGGGCATGTTGCTGTTCAGAAAGGGTATATTGATCAGCAAATTGCTTTAACTTGGTTTTTAACCTGCGTTAATAATTTTTTACATTATTTATGAAACTCAGAAAGGTTCAAGGACATAAGTGGACAGAAATGTAATACTTAGTCTTCCTTCATTAGTTTCCTTAACACATTTTGCATGCACGAATATGGGAAACAGACTGATCTTAAATAATTGAAAGCATATAAGTGCCACAAACTTTGCAGCTAGTCACAAATAGCATATCAGAAATTTGGTACCTGCAACCATTGGGAGAAAACATAACAGACTATTAAATTATCAGCTAACTTTACTCATTTCCAAAGGGTTAAAAATCTTATATTAGCCTATGTTCGGCTCATGTTTATAAACTGCTTATAAACACTCGAGTGACTTTTTATCCACATATTTCGAGGGACCTACAATTACTACCCACTTATCTACCACTTATTTCTATTTATTTATAATTTAAACCATTTATAAACACTTCCCAAATGTGCCCAAGTTATAGCGTTGTTCACTAGTCACCAAACTGTTGTTTTTCCAAATTAGTGACGAACTTCAACTTTTTCAGTTTATGCACTGTCCATCTCCATCTAATAATTAATGGAAATGCTCATGTATTGGTGGCTGCATCTAATAACACACATGAAGATTCAAGTGTTAATCTTTCTTAGAGCAGAAAATATACTAAGGCTGAAGTCTAACGTAGACTTTTCCTTAAATTGACCAGAAATTACACAAAGCTATTTGATGTCATGAAAAATTCTTCTTTTTTTTTCCCCTTCAACCAACTGGTGTGATAAGCACAAATTATCATCTTCCCATACACCAGTTTGACATCACTCAGGGCACACGAAAACAAGGCACTTACAAATGTAACCACAACTGAAAAGGTCTTAAAAGTATTAAGCCCATGTTTGTCTTACATTCTTTCAAAACTCTTTTTTCTACGTACTCATTTTCAACCACACATTCACACAATAAAATATTCTACACGTAAATTCAAAACTTTTCCCTACATTTTAACCACACATTCTGCAAAAATTCACTATTCAAAACAATGTTTTTCCAAAAAAATGGCCACCAAACAGGGGCTAAATGAAATGCAGTGGAGTTCATAGGCTTACATGTCATTCTCTTTCAGCTGGGTTAGACAATCATCTTTTTGCTGCTCCAGCTTACTGCTTACTTCCTACAATAGAGTAAGAAAGAAAAAAAAGGTATATGAATACCAAAAAGACCAGTGTACAGACAAATAAATAACAGATGCATTATTCAAGCACAAATCCTTCTAGTAAAGTGCTAAAAGGATTTGGATTATACCATAAGGCTTTTGCAGCCAATTCTATAACATATTATAAGGCCGAGTTTGAACATGTAATCTATGCCCGCAAAAATAGCATTTAGGCCTTGCTAGTTTGTTGTGGCATCCAAAAACTATTACATATACCGTAAAAAAGTTCATGCTAAAATTTGAGATTGGATCACAATGTATATTGGGCTGGGAAACAACTGTTAAATTACAAATAAATTTTACATCTTTTATGCACAAGGAACCAAGTTCAAGTGACTAACCATAATAAGGAAGTGGAAGCAGCTAATAGTACTTAAGAAGAACTAAGATAACCTGACTAATCGCAGTGGCCTGGAAAGAGAGGGGATGCCTTAAAACTAAGAAACAAAAATTCAAATAAACAAATGTAACTACATTGAGAGGGGGAGAGGTAGATAAGAAAGAGTGTGTGTGGAAGGGGAAACAACCAAGTTCAACAATGTGAATATCAGAAATTATAAAATATAAAATAAAAGTGCTATTAAAAGAATTAACGATGTTTAACAACCCCCAACACCTATGCCACTTAACTAAGACATTGACATATAATTTAATTTTTAATAGAATAATTTCTAACAGTAGAAAAATATACAAAAACTAATTCATTTGGTTATATTGCAGTTGCTGTTTTACATTTTCATATGTCATCATTTATGCAGAAAAAACAACGTAGAACTTTCTCATTCTCTTTTTTTCCTCCCATTTCAGAACTACTGTCAATGTCTCCTTATTTTCACTCCATAAGTAATCTGCTTATCTGCTTTTAATCCTATACAAGACAAATTTTTCCAGCTACTGTGGTCTGATTTCTTTAAGCAATACAAAACAGTTGACAACTAAAACACTTGTACCACGGTAAAATGAGTACATGCATACTCATCGAATTGAAGATGAAGATGATAATGCTGATAGTGATAGTGACGATTATGAGGATGACGACGAACAATGATAAATAGATCAGAATGTAGATTAGAGATTAAACAGAATGTGATAGGAATTTATTAGCTGGAATGAAGCAGAATAAAACTATTTACTTAAAAGAATCGTAACCTTGATTGCATCCTGAAACTTGTTTGATAGATCTAATCTCAAATCTTGGCCCTCAGTTGACACTCGTTTGCATTCATCCTGCAAAATAATGAGAAGTTACCAGTAGTTACCACATCAATAAAACAACCAATCAACAGTAAAAAAACAAACAGTATATAAAGTTTTTAAATCACTCAATATTTAATACACTGCAGGTAAATACAAATTTAATTAAATGCTACCAAAGGTTTTCAGCACTAAAACTTATCATAACAAGTAATAATGAAATTAGAAGGCAAAATTACCATTACTTGATTAATTTTTTAATAAATACTTCCCATATCTGAAAACCTGTAGAATACAGTTCTTATAATACATTTTTCATTACATACTGCCAGTTTCAAGAATCGGAGAACAATTGAACCTAAATCTCAGGAATTTGAAGATGGAACGTAAAGAAACCAGTACTAACGAGAATATGGAACAGGTATATGAAAAGAAAACATTAAGAATTTAGATTTTCCTCCTCAGATTCTTTTCGCTACAAAAAAATAATCCAGCGTAGTAATATGAACATCCTCATCATAACCAAGCAATACACAAGCAAATCAAAGAAAAAGTATCAATAGACATCATTAGAATGGTTGATGGTGCATCTACTTAAGAAATACAAAAGCATGGGACAGTTATGGATACCTTCAGGTTTATACCTAGCAGGACCAACAAGACATGGAACATAAATAACTAAAGAAATGTGGCTACCTTAGAATATAGCAATAAAGGTTCATTGAAGATTAGGATCGGGGATCAAAAAAGTGAAGATTATATTATTTATTTTCCAATAATATGCAGCAGTAAATTCATGCAATGAGATGTTACCAATTTGATCCTACATGTTTTGCTCTACAACTGAGAATATAAATTTAATCTGCAAGCTTCGTTATTTCCTCCATATAATGGAAGTCAGATAATGATCAAGTGCACTACTCCCTTTAGAAGCCATAGAGCCAAAAAAATAAAATAAATTGAACTCTGTGCTGTCAATAGAAAGCTTAACATATATAGCTTACCAAATATAGCTCCCTAAAATCACTCTATGTAATTAGCATGTATAGCTTAAGTTTCCTTGTATGCTTGTTAATTTTGCTTATATAATGAAAGACCTTCTCAGAAGAGAGGACAATTCTTGGTATCAGAGCCGTATTCCAAGAAACATCATTCCTAGTTTTCTCATTCATAGTCTCAAAAATTATTGAGAAGTCAAGATAATGTTTGTATCAGAGTTACTGGCAAAAATTATGCTGCCCGGAAGTTTCAACTACGAACATTTCTCAAAGGTAAAGAGCTCCGGGGTCATATAGATGAGAGCAACAAAGGAGGATTTGCTGCAGCTGACAAGTCAGCTTGGGCTACCAAAGATAACCAAATCATGTCGTGGATTCTTGGTTCTATGGAACCACATCTGATTCTTTCTCTGCATCCTCATAGATCGGCAAAGGCTATGTGGGATTATCTCAAGCAAGTCTATAACCAAGACAACAATGAGTTGGATATCGCTAAGTATAACCAAGGGGACTTATCTATTCAAGATTATTACTCTGGTATTCTGACTTTGTGGAATGATTATCCAGACCTTGTTGCAGCCGAGGTCTCCGCCGAAGGATTGGATGCAGGATTGGCAGCAGTACAACACATACGCAAAACCAGCCAAAGGGACCAATTTCTGATGAAATTGAGGTCTGACTTTGAATCTGTTTGTGCCTCTCTAGTAAATAGAGATCATGTTCCAACTTTGGAGGCATGTTTTCGAGAACATTTGCGTGAGGAACGTCTCAATACTCAAAATATTATGGAGCAGGCACGTATTGCTTCTAATACTATCTCAGTTGCCTATGCTGCTCGTGGCAAGGGAAAGGGACGTGATATGAGCAACACACAGTGCTATAGTTGTAAGAAGTAAGGCCACATTGCTCACTGTCCTCGGAAAGTTTGTAACTACTACAAGCAATCAGGGCACATTATTAAGGAGTGTCCTATTTATCCCTTGAGCTCCAATAAGGTGCTGTTACTTCTGCTGCTTTAAAACCTACCATTACTAATATGGATGCTGCAAGAGTGTCCAATTTGTCCCTCGTGATCCAATAAGGTGCTGTTACTTCTGCTGCTTTAAAACCTGCCATTACTAATACGGATGCTGCAATGTCTGCCGTTAGTTTACAGCCTCCAGCACATATTATTACTTGAGAGACGGTGCATGAAATGATTGTGAGTGCTTTTTCAGCATTTGGTCTTTAAGTAATGATTCTTCAACTACTTCTTGGATCTTAGACTCAGGTGCCTCTAATCATATGACTAATTCTCTCCATGGATTAATTAATATCAGAAAATATGTTGGCTCCTCACATATTCAAACAGCCAATGGTAGTGCTCTACCTATTGCGGCAGTTGGTGATGTATCTTCTAACTTTAATGATGTTCTGGTGTCACCAAATCTCTCTGTGAATTTAGTATCTGTCGACCAGCTTGTTGACCAAAACTATTAATGTATATTTTACTAATGATGGTTGTATTGTAGCAGTTGATAGCGAAGGGGCCCAAGTATGGACATCTCTTTTCTCTGCAACTACCTGTTCCACGCAACTTACATTCCTCGGTCCTGTATTTACTTTGTAATGGGTCTAAAGTGTCAAATGAAGCCTAGCATAAACATCTTGATCATCCTAATTCTAAGATTCTATCTTATTTATTGAAATCTAGACTATTGCCAAATAAAGAACATTCTTTTTCCACTATATTTCCTGATTGTGCAACTTGTAAACAAGGCAAAAGTAAGACTTTACCTTTTCCTTTTGAAGGAAGTAGGGCAACTTACATATTAGAGATAATTCATACTTATGTTTGGGGTATTAGTCCTATCATTTCTCATGGTCAATACAAATATTTTGCGACTTTTATCCATGATTACATCAGATATACATGGGTTTATTTCTTATGGCGCAAATCAAAAGTTTTTCCTATGTTCAAATTATTCTTAGCCCTTATTGACACTCAGTTTTCAGCCACTATTAAAACTCTTCGATCTGACTCAGGAGGGGAATATATGTCTCATGAGTTCCAATCTTTCTTGCAATCTAAAGATATCTCTAAACGCTCTTGTCCATATACTCTACAACAATATGAAGTTGTTGAAAGAAAGAATCATCATCTTCTAGATGTTGTTAGGACCTTGCTTATTGAATCTTTTGTTCCTCCAAAGTTTTGGGTAAAAGCACTTGCCATGGCAACCTTATCAATAGACTCCCTTCCCAAAGTCCTAGACTTCCGGTCTCCATATTTCAAGCTTCATCATCAAAATCCACCTATACAAATCTTCCCACTTTTGGGCGTGTATGTTTTATGCATCTTACTCCACCAAACAGAAACAAGCTTTCTGCTCAGTCTATCCACTGTGCATTCACACAAAAAGGGTATTTACGCTATGATCCAAACTCTAATCGGGTTCGTGTTTCAAGGAATGTGCTCTTTTGTGAAAATCAATGGTTCTTTCCTATGTCTTCACCACGGAAGCCTTCTCCTTCTCACTTACCTTCTTTGATGACACCTCTAGTGCTCCTAATACTTATGTTGAAAGGTATACGTCAGGTACGGTACATGAGCGAAGACATTCAGTTCTGCCCCCATCTGTTCCCGTCTTGCCATCTGCTCCCTTGCACCGCTCCTTTAGAGTATGTGATCTTGACCATTACGGGCTTGAGTCACTGAAGGCAAGTACGTGTAATTCTGCACTCTCAGCCACTATATCCTCTATTGTTATTCCTACCAATTACACACATGCAGTTAAAGAAAAATGATGCCATGTAGAAGGAACTATGTGCTCTTGAAGCTGAGAGTTGGGAGGTGGTAGATTTCCCGCAGGTGCGACTCCACTTGGATGTAAGTGGGTCCATTCTATTAAGGTCAAGTCTGATGGCAATTTGGACAGATATAAGGCCCACTTAGTAGCTCTTGGAAATCATCAAGAATATGGTGTGAATTACGATGTGCATTTTTCTCCGGTAGCAAAAATGACCACTATTGGATATTGTTGCTTTTCAAAATTGCGGTTTGCGCGAAATGGATGTGAAGAGTGCCTTTCTTCACGGAGATCACAAGGAAGATGTTTATATGCGTCCTCTTGCCGGTTTATTTTCCACTCCTACTTTTGCAGTGTGCAAGTTATGTCGCTCCTTGCATGGTCTCAAGCAAGCTCCCTGTGCGTGGTATGAGAAATTTACCTCTACCCTACTCAAGTTTGTTTTTCTCAAAATGTACAATACCTTTGTATTTATAGGCAAAACTATTCACTAATCCTATTAATATAAGGAAATTAAGAGTGTGTTTAAGCCATATTATTTTGGAAAAAATGTATTTTGGAATAGTACATTGATAGAGAATGTGTGGTTGAAAAGTTATTGATGTGATAAAAAATATTATTTTATTGAAAAATGTATTGTTGAAAATAAATAAAAGAATGAAAATGAAAATTTAATGTGGCTCAAACATGGACTTATTATGTTTCTCTTCCTCTCTTTCGAAATTCTTCTCTCTTTTTTTTAACATATAAATTTTCAATCATACATACACAAAATAAAATATTTTACAAGTAAATTCAAAAAAAAAAAATTACTTCTTAATCACATATATTCGAAAAATTCATTATTCAAAATAATATTTTTGTAAAACAATGACCACCAAACATGAGCTTAATAAACCTGAATATAGCCCCTCGGGGCACATCCGAGTTGGCAAAAGATGGGCATTGCTGGGCTTGCAACCTCAGGGTGGGGAGTTCGATTCCTAGATGGAGCGGCTGAGTATTGTAATACTCAATTTGTGTGGAGCAGTTTGGTGATGTAATATCTATGGAGGAAGACTCCCTTGGAGTCAGGAGTATAAAGGGTGCACGGACCCTGGTCAACTTGGGCGTATCCCGCTGTTAACTTCCACCCATCACTTAAGGGCCGGGGATGGGTGGTCCCGATATAGTCTGGTGTAAGTTGGGATACTTGGATATTAAAAAAAAAAAAAAACCTGAATACAAAAATATTATTAAGCCATTGTTTGAGCTCCATTTTTTATTAAAATGTACTTTAGAATAATATTTTTTTGAAAAATGTGTGGTTCTAAAATAAGAAATTTTTTTTTTGATTTAAGTGTAAACTTATTTTGTGTGAAAATGTGTGGTTGAAAATAAGTTTTGAAAAAATATATTTAGTAAAAAAATGAAGCTCAAACATGGGCTGAATGAAATCCTGACCATTAGGGTTCTCCAGTATATTATACGGAATAAAAAAAGCCAAGAGCTTCATAATTTAAAATTTTAATTTTTAAAAAAATTAATTTTAATCATATATAATATTTTAATCAATAAAGAAAAAAAATCATATTCTAAACAAAATATTAGAACAAAAGGATAAAACTTATTATAACTAGACATCTTATTATAAATATCTAATCTTAATCATATTTAGAATATGATTGTTCTACATCAATCTCTCCCACTTGAAGAAACTCGTCCTTGAGTTTTGTCAAAAAAAAGAATCCTTCATAACTTGTATGTTTTCAAACTTGGCTGAGACTCAAGGAAATTCTCTAGCCACATGTTGTCGTGTTCTATGCTTGTTTTCAACAACCAACATTCATAGCAGTTAAGGCTCCTGTTTGGCCCCCATTTGGGAGGTGTTGAAAATTTTTGGAATAGTGATTGATTGGAGAATGTGTGGTAGAAAAGTAATGAAAAATTTTAAATTTGTGTGTAATATTATTTTATTTCATGAATGTGTGGTTGAAATGAAGAGAAAAAAATTAATGTAATGTAATGGCAAAAAAGGGGGCCAAACGGGGGCAAGGTCTGCAAATTCTTGTCAACTTGCTTCTTCATGGGCTCGCAATTCCTTTCAAAACTCAACGCAGTCAACATTCACATGATGTTATGAAGGATCTCATCGATCCCCTCGATTCATTATTCGAGTTTGTCAAGCCTCCGTTCGTCGTCGGTGATTTGACTGCCACCAATACCTTCGTCAGCCATCAGATTAAGACAATTTCCTTGCTCTGATACCAATTTTGGTGCGGAAGCGTTTATGAAATTCTTGTAATAAGAATTGTGTAATAAATAAGAATGTGTCTTGTATATATTGAATAATAATTTATTGTTGTTGAAAAAATGTACAATACCTTTGTATTTATAAACAAAACTATTCATTAATCCTATTAATATAAGGAAACTAAATTCTAAAAGGAAATAAACTAAAATCATAATCTAATTAGAAATCATATTTTAATCAATAAAGAAAAAATCATATTCTAAACAAAATATTAAAATAAAAAGATAAAATTTATTATAACTAGACATCTTATTGTAAAATATCTAATCTTAATCATATTTACAATAGGATTATCCTACATCAGAACAAGACCGTATCTCCAAGTCCTCTACTAAGTCCAAATATAGGGGTATGTCACAAGCTTGGACTTTACAGGCTCTCCCTGAAGCAATCGATCACTCTTCTGGAATCTCTATAACTTCATTTTACATATACAGCTCCATAATACACTAATTTAGCAAAATGGTCTTAATTTATTCTCAAATGCTTGTCAATCTAATAGAAAATTCCAGTCTGAATATCTGGACAAAACATAAACTGAAGCAGATATGGTGCATAAACCAAGAGAATACCATCAACAGTTTGTTTTGACGCTGTAGCTCTCTGCACAATGACTCAAGTTTATCTCTAACAGCAATGGCTGCAGAAGAGAGTACATAAATTAGATAATAAAAGAGAGGTTGATATGAAGCTACTTTATCCTAAATTTATAGATAAATATACCAGATCAACCAATATTTATCAAGTTTAAAAAATTTCTTAGGATCTGTAGAATGTCACAACAATAAATTGCACATATGCAAAGTGAGACTAAAAAATGTTCACAAAACAAAACATTAAAACCAACAAATAAAGTGGCACAGTTTAAATTTTAAATGATAATTGGTTACCAGAAACTCCGAAAAGTTCAAGAAACATTATTAAAAAAAAAAGGATAAAGAGAATCAAACAAATACAAAGCACATAGAGGAAATGACAATCAACTACCAGAATCTCTTTCAGCAAGAACTTGTCGGTACTTCAGAGTGAACTCCAAAAAATCCTTCTCCGATTTGAAGGTACGCTTTACAGTCTTACGCTTCACTTCAGAGGCCTCCTGCCATAGCAGACATACAATATAAATACTTGCATTAACAGACGAAAAAATAAAAAATAAATAAATAAAATTCAAGCGATCATTTCAAATAGAAAACTTTGTATAGGATTTACTGTTGGACTTAGATTCATCAAGTTATGACCCAAAAATTGGCAAACAGTTGGATTAAGATTCCTGCAATTCAGTTAGTTTGGATAATCCCAAAAGAGCAACAGATGTACAACAGAAACAAATGTCTACATCTAAATGAAGACAGAAGATGAAACCAAAGATGACATCGAGGAGCACAAGAAGAAGGATAGACGTCCAAATGAATTAACCGTCTGACTTGAGCAATTCACTTCCAGCTGGCTGAGTTGACATTCAAAACATGAAGATGGGAGATCAAATTCAGAAATTAAATAACAATATCCAAGGAGTCATAGATCCGCAGAAGAATGCAAGCATCCTGAAGAACTTGAATGCCAAAATCAGCATTGATGTACACATGAAAACAGGTTACTTATTATACTAAGGAAGTACATGTACATAGTTGATCCATCCAAATGGTACTATGGTCCATCCTAAAGGTTAGAAGAAGAAAGGTTTCACACGTCTGAAACAGTTTCAGGTGCCCGAAACAAGCCTGTTGAACATTTAGTTATAGAAAACTGAAGATCCTGACAAGTTGATTTCAAAGTGGTTATGATGGAATATTAGTGTAAATATTATTTAGGCCTACATACCCTCCCTAATTTTAGCCTAATTTTAACTTTTATATCGGCAATAACAACTGAAAATAATCTGTTCACCCTGGGTTATTGCTGGTATAAAAGTTAAAATTAACCGAAAATTAGGGAGCCGAACGGGGCCTTAATGTAGTCTTCAATTTCAATTCTTATTTTAGGAAACAAAATTATGATTTGATTTCATAGATTTTATAGTATTTTCCTACTTTAATTAGGACTAGTTTAAACTCTATATTAAGGGGGCTTATATATTGTAATAGAAACAACTTCTATAAAGAAATAGAGATATTTTCTCCCTAAATTCTCCTTTTGTCTTTCTAATTCTTCTCCCCTTTCTATTTGCCTCCTCCTATCTTTCCCCTCTTCTTCCCTCTCATTCCCCTTCTCCTATAATTGTTCCCTTGCATCCTACGTCAATTTGGTATTAGAGCTCAAACCATTTCCTTTAACCAACACCTATAAACCTATCCTAACTAAACCACCAATATAGAATAATTGTGTTGGTTTTCTATTATTCCCTTAAAAAAATTAATTAAAAATCTTATCATGCCTTGCTGTTGTCCATCTGCTGCTCCAAAACAAAAACAACCAACCCAGAAACCTTACAAACAGACCCAAAATTCAAATACCTATACCTATCCCATTCACTCTACGAATAACCCAGCCCTCTCCCACTCCGTATATATCAACTGCTCAATCCACACATACATGTAACCCACTTAACATCCCATAGCCCATCCCATTATAAACAACCCACAACCAATCGGTACCACACATTACTCCAATATTCCACACCCTGCCCAACAACAAACCAAACCCCTTAACAGAATCCCCCAAAACCACATCCCATATATACAATAACCCATTGGCCACACCCCCAACAAATATAACACATCCACTGAAACATACAAAATTCTAACCCTATATTCACAGCCCAATTTCGCCCAAGTCCAACTAAATATAACCTATATTTCCTTATCTGACCCACAACCAAGCCCACCACAATCACCCCCAATCTCCAATAGGCTATAGCATACATTTTCGCCACCAGACACTGACGTTGTCGCTTCTACCCTTGCGAGCACCGGCTAACCATAATTCCACCGTTGCAGCCCACTTCTCATACCGGAAGAAAGAACCTAAACTCATCCTGCCGATGTCCAGCTTCCTTTGCTTTGACCAAGTCATAGCGACCCGATCAGTTTCCTCCCTCAAAACACCCACCACCACTATCACCCCAACCTTCTTTTTCCGCTGTAAAATCTGTCCTCTATCAATGCCAATGTCTACATTAGCTCTTCCACAACTTGCCTCACCAACCACCTCATTCCAATCCATTACCAACATCCCACATCCATATACAACCCGCCACCTCAAAGATCATTTATGTTCTTCCCACATTCACAAGGTCATCAATCGCCTCTCCACCATCTCCGAATCTTTCTACGTAACTCTAACCATGCCTACCTACAGCTCTTTTCTACCCGACGACCTACAAACTAAAAACACCTATGGCCTACCACCACATATATTTCATCGTCCAACATTTTCACTCTCACATACACCGGTAGATTTGAAGGTTTCACAAAACCAACACCGTTACCTCCCACCACCAGGCCCACCACTGTTTGCAAAAGTTCCCATCTCAATCATGAGAATCACGCTATTGTATCTCAATAACAGAAATAGGTAAACAGCGAAGAGCAACTAGTTGCCGCTAGTCGCACCTATCTACACTCGTCTCCTCCTATTCCAATTAGTTTCTTCATCGACACTCTTTTCCTTTTTAAATCGTTTCTTTGCTGTTGTTCTTCGTTGCCGCCCACGTCGTCATCACCAGTGATAAAATCGAAATATTCCTACTCAAACAAGAACTCCTATAGTAGTTTAAATCCTATATCTACACAAAAATCAATAAAGTCCAAATATATATTTTCTCTGCGAATCATTTTTTGAACAATGAAATCCATAACATAAAGGTTTACAACTCTTCTTTAACTTGGACATTGGTTGCCATATCTGCTTTGATAAGGGATTTACAAGACCTTGGGATAGAGATCGTGCAGAGTCCTCCACATACAGATAAGCTCTCTATCTAGGTTATCAAAATGTGGCTATTTTGTTGAAAGATGACACTACTGCTTGCACAACATATCAAGAATTTGGGAAGCAATTTATTCAACACGTCGATCAATCCATTTGTATGTATTGGTACTGGAAACTTTTGTGCACCACCTACACTCGTTGAGTCTCATTAGGTATATCAATTATGCAATTTAAAAACGCTACTCTTCAATTTCGGTGTTTGTGGCTTGTCAAAACTTAAATAAACGCAATAAAAAAAATAAAATATGTGTATATATGTAAAAAAGTCATATAGTACATTTTACACCTACAACAAGCCTATAGATCCCTTCCTCGATCATGTCCCTTCTCTTGCACTTAGCAACACATTTATCCTCCATCTAGAAACATTATTAGGGATGTACATTTTCCTTCTAGAGAAGTCACTTTCCAATTATGAGACTTTAATAATCTCACTGGACCAAACTCATTTCTTAATTGACTCGATTCTCTTGAAAATTTCTGTGACACTCACAATTTGAGTAAATTCCGTCATCTTTGTCATACTAATATGGCACTTGTAGGTTTTTCTATGTGTTATTGGAAGTCCTTTTTGCGATACATTGATCTCCTAGGTCAAGGCCCTATCATTTCGTGGGATGAAATGAAACGATTCTTAAGGTATAGATATGCTCCTATGTACTATAAAACTCAATTGTTAGATCAATAATTTTTGCACTGTAAACAAGGTACACCCACTTTTAGGGAATATCTAGCTTATTTTGAAAAGTCATTACACACTAGTGGTATTTATGAAGCTTTCCATGTTACAGCATCTAGGTTTCTCAGTGGGTTAAATCCTGAAATCTTACCTAACGACATTCCTACACCCAAATCCTTAGATGATGCTTACCAGTAGGCCAACCTTTCATACATATCCTTCTGTCTTCACCAAAGTATATCATAGGCTAAGTGTACCGCCCGAGTCTCGATAGTTACATCTCAAGTCTAGCTGTTACTCTTGTGAAGATATGATGTTTTTATTGTTGAGTCTATTGAATACTCTTCTAATAGGGAGGATGATAAATTAACTATGGTGTTACACCTAAGCTTAATAGTCCACAGGTCATTGCTTTCAAGCCAAAGTTTCTCTTGCCTAAACTTTTGTATGACTCTAAAGTTAACTTTGATATTGCTTTACCTCCACTGTGTTGCCATCCCGAATTGTCACATTTTCCAAGGTCGTCATTTGTTCACAGACTTTTCCTATCGACATTCGGTTATTACATACTAATTACCGTCGTATTGTTTTAGCTTCGTATATTGTTGATTCTCATGCCGAGTTCAAAAGACAAATTAATTTCAGTTATGAAACTTATGAGCTCGCATTTGACACACAATTTAGGCACAGATGCTTTCATGATGATTTTTATGCCTTGTTACGTGTTTCTTTAGCATGATTTTCAAAATACGTAAGAAAAAATTGGATCGCCCACTTGAACTTAATCTCTTTGACTGGCCATTATATTTAAATGAATGTTTGCTTTCAATAACAAAATTGTTTCCTTATCGGTGGCTCGAATTGTTGCAATAATTTGTTTCTGCACGCCAATTTATTATGCTTGTAAATTGTGTTCCTCAAGTGGATTTCGTAGTAATATTTTTTTATGAATAAGTTGCACAAATTATTTTTTATTGGGGTTCCTCATCACTACTTGCTTAAAAAGAAAGATCGTCTTCCTTGGTCAGATTAGATACTTGGGAATGATTTTCAGATTCAGTTGTCGTCGCATATTGGTTTAGGAAGAAAGATCGCCCTCCATGGTTAAGAGATAGCAGTCTATCTCACTGAAACCAAGTTTTCTCGAGGAGAAATGATAGTCTAGATATTATTTAATGTAACTTCAAATTTTGATTCTTATTTTAGGAAACATAATTATAATTTGATTTCATAGATCTTATAGTGTTTTCCTACTTTAATTAGGACTAGTTTAACTTTATATAAAAAGGGCTTATGCATTGTAATAGAAAAAACTTTGATAATGAAATAAAGATATTTTCTCTCCCTAAATTCTTCTCTCCTATCTGTCTTCCTCGTATCTTCCCCCCTCTTCTTCCCTTTTCTGCTCATATTTCCCTTCTCTCTCCTTATCCCTTCTCCTATAATTGTTCTATTGCATCCTACGTCAAGTTAAGTCAAGATGAAGTATAAAGAATCATGTTGAAAATGACCAAGGAGAACAATAACTTCAAAGAAGAACCTTTCAACGAGCACTTTGAAAATCACTACGCGACAACATAATCAATAAGGCAAGCTTTAACGTGTTGCAAAAATCTAAGTCTTGAAATGAAACAACAGCCAGGAGATTGAATCACAATGAATGATTGATTGAACATTAAAAGATCGTAGGATGCAAAAATCGAAGATGGAAATGAAAGAGCAGCTTAAAGGCTAGAGTGTAGTGACAAATTATCACATGAAGATGCAAAAATTCTTAACTGAAAAGATCGTACGATGCAAAAATCAAAGATGGAAATGAAGGAGCAGCTTAAAGGCTAGAGCGTAGTGACAAATTATCACATGAAGATGCAAAAATTCTTAACTGAACTCTGAATAATTGAATTATGAATACAACTGACAGAAAAGAAGTCTACGAGAGAAAAAGATAAAACCCTTTCAAATCAAAGCAGTAGTAGGTGAAGTCAAAGTAACCAGAAGAACAAAGTGCAAATAGAGGAATTGCCAAATACATGTTTCGGATATTCCCAACTATTTTAGCTATTTGTAACTAGGAAAGGATGATCATGTTTTTTCTAAGCTCAAAGTTCAAAGCATTTGACACAACTAGACACCAGAAATAGAGTGAAGAGACAAATAATCACATGAAGATGCAAAAATTATTAACTAAACTCTGTGAATTGCATTATGAAGACAACTAATAGAAAAGAAGTCTAAGAGAGTACCCTTGCAAATCTAAGCAATGTGATAGGATCTGCCCGAGAACAATGGGATTAATCAATCTCAGTAATGCAATTAAATTTACTAGTGCAGTAGAATTACAACAAACACAAGTTCTGGATAATGAAAGGCATTGATTGATTGTATAAACAGTAAAAAGGACAGAATGAAAAGAGCAACAAGGCAGGTTTCGAGAGCTGCCCCTCTCCTAATGATTCAGATTTTCTCCACTTTCTGAATATCCTTCTAGACTCTACTTTGCACTCTATATTCACTCCTAACAACCATGACATCATCTTAAGTACTTCCCTGCTCATCAGATCTAACAGCTAATATTCCTTCCAGCTCATATTACACCCCTTTCTTGTGAAGCCTCTGATAAGTGAACCGTATGGGAGGTTTATCATAACGGTAGGTAAAAGTGCTAACTAAGAAATTCCCAAATACGACAAGTTTCGGATATTCACAACCATTTTAGCTATTTGTAACAAGGAAAAGAGGATCATTTTTTTTTCTAAAGCTCGTGTTTCAACAGTCAATCAATAAAACATTTGAAACAACTAGACACCAAAAGCAGATATATATAAATAAGAAGCGATAAAAGGGATTTGAAGGAGCCAATCTTATTGTATTACAATCAGAAATCCAACCAGGAAACAGGCGACCAAAGTTTCCTCCCAAACTGGAAAATTGAAAATTTAGATGTCCAAGACCACAAGATACTCAAACATAGTTGACTTGTGCTAAATTATGGAAACCCATTTCAATGAAAGTAGACTAGCAGGACTTTCCCAAAGGCTGGTTGAGGACACATTGTTAGAACCAAATTGTAAGTAATGACCACTCAATTTCCTTAGGATTCTCATTTTCATACATTCATTTCATCTTTCAAGTCTTCTTTTCTCATTTTTAGTTTTGTAACCATACCACAATCTTGAATTTTCTTTTCAAATGTCAGGTAACATTTTTTATGTCTAACCTTAAGAATAAGACACCTGCTTGGGAGTTTCAAAAGTCAAAACAAATCCAGACATATGCAACAAACTTTCACAAGTCTGATACTAAAATTCAGATATTGAAAATGTGTTCTAAACATTTAGAACAGGTTTTTCAGTAACTTGAACTTTTTCAGAAGAAACTTCATGTTATGACCTTCCATTTTACCTAATTCTATCCCATATGAGTAACGCCATTTAACTTCTGAATGATTAAACATATTCTTTCAACCTAGTTGACATTTCCAAATGTGGTAAGCTTATATGATCGTTGTGTTTGAACCTCTGCGAGAGAAGTTTATGTTCTTTCTTCTCAGTAATCATATTTTGCAGAAATTTAGCCCTTTTTCCCTTGTGGCTAATGTAGTGGGTATGTTTTTATGAATACAATCAGCTCCTACGCTGACTGAAGGCTTTGAAACCTCAAGTTTTCCACATCTTTCATAAAGCTTTCATGAAATTAACTCGAAAGTAAAATCTTTTAATTAAGAAGGAAACATTGTGTTTATTTAGGACTTTCATATATCCAACATGTTCTCCCTGATGAAATCTAAAAAGTCCTCCATAGCCCCTGTAACTCTCCCCCCACTAGACCTCTCCGTAGGAATTCGGACACATTGAAATCTCCTCCAATACACGTTGGAAGGTTCCACCAATTCATCACCCCAGCCAATTCATCCCATAATCCACCTCTACTATCATCTACATTAGGCCCATAAACTCCTATAAACATCCAACGGAAGCTATCCCCAATGTTTCCAAATGAAAGCGATAGGGAAAATAGCCATTCGCTAACCTCCTCCATATCAAAAACTCTAGTGTCCCACATGCCTAGCACACGCTCAATCAAGTACCATGGCATTTTACCACTGTAAGGTGAGGCAATAAGCACCAAGATAAACCAATAAAATAATTAAAAAATGAAAATACAAAGATGCTTATAGTAAACCATAAACCATCTTGATAAACCATAATAAAAGTTAACAAATTTAAACGTCCAAGTTGCAAACAAAAAATAACATAAATCAACAAAGTAATCAATNTGGGATCATCTAAATAATGCCTCACCCCTCCCCATGAGACCTCTTCTTGACTCGACACCACTGGCAGCATAATTAACCGAGCATTCAAGCCGCTTAAGCTCACGGCCACCCTTTCTTCTTGTCTTACCTCCCGATGTACTCATCTCATGTCCCCTCCTGGCCTCCAATTCCTCAAATAATTGCAAATGTGTATTTTCGTATCCATCACATGACACACCTATCATCTTACTAAAATCCATAATATTTTGAAGAACCCAGTTTGACGGTTGCGATTTGATGTCAAGTGCACTAACTTTCGCCATCTCCCCCACATAGATGGGATCAATAAAATGTCCCTCTTCCTCCACCCGTACTACATCGCTATCTGTGTCCTCCTTCTCGACTCCACCAACCTACACCACCAACGCATTATCATTCCATGGCTCCCCCTCCTTCGGAGACTTAGCAGATCTCCTACAATACGTATTCTTAACCAATGAAGCTGAGCCTGTCCTGCCAAGTTGCTTCTCAATCACTGAGTTTGATCTTTCAACCAACGTGCCCTCACTCATGAAACAATTGGTCGCCTCCAAAACCTCTGAAACCTCTGAATTCAGAATTGTAGTCCCCGGCTCCCCTACTTTAGCCCCGAACTCCGTCTCTTGATGTACCTCAATCATTGAAACCAATTCACCCCTATTTGTTACCTCCAACCCCACCTTATTCACCCCTATTATGTACTATATCAGCTATTGACTTTCAAATCATATCTATTTTCGATCACGTCACTTAAATCTAGGTTAACATCACTTGCAGCAACATTAGGAGATACAGTGTCAGGCTCATCAACATACTTTACTAGAAGCATTGATGAATACTCACATCATAGAAAAACTTGAAAAACTTTATGATGTAGAAAGCTCGTAAACAAAATTCACAATAAGCAATTCAGGTTATCTTTACATTCTGGTTGCTTTTGCTCTCACTCATTAAACACTTTCAAACGTTCTTCGAACAACTGAATGAAAGGATTTAGGAAAAACGATATTACATCATTTTGCCCAAAAGCTTTTTTTTGACTGGAAAATTGAAATCAAATGAACCTGTTCAAATACGAAACAAATTCAGTGTTACATGTGCAGTTTTTGTTTCATACTCCGGATCTGCTTTATTAATTTAAGCATTTTTTGGCTAAAATATGCAGTTCATCTATTCACCTCCTCTACATTACCTTTCTCAAACTCCAATAATCAAAGCACAATTTATAAATTTCACATAGAATGAAGACTATATATGACACATAATACCAAAAGAAAATTACATCAAAAAGTGACAGATATAAAGTCAATAAATACAAATAAGACACTGGTACTACTGACTACTTTTTGTTGTTCAGTACTTACTACAACAAGAGCCTCCTTCGGAACATCTGTTTGTGAGTCTATGCCTTTGACAACAGCAGCTAAATAGAAAGAAACATACTTAATTCAGAAAAATGAATAGAAAAATCATATATGCATCAACAACCTAAATTTTATTTCCAATAAACATGGGGTCAGTTAGCATGGATCTTTTTTATATTATGTTAACTGGAAAAATCAAATAAACCATATACTTTGCAACCATTTCATATCATGCTAATATTGATCTACTACTCACTCTTTTAACATACTCTAATTGGATTGCACTGCTTTTATGAACATATGTTTATCTCTTTCTAGTCAATAAATGCCCTAAAAGTATATTCTTTCACTACTTCCTCCTCAATCAGTGTCATCTCTAATTGTTGGCATACTACAGAAAGTCTATATCGGAAAATTAATATTAGAGAATGTAGCTCTATCATACAGATACCTATTGAGAGGCAATGAGAATAACTTAATGATCCCATACAAAAGGGAAGTGCTTGACAAAGAGTATATTTGCAAAGCTAAAACAAATTATTTGAATCATCTTTTGCCTCAATGCATCTGAATATTGTTGTAAACAAAAGAACATGTCAATAAGACTAATGATAAGATGATACAGCTCGAAATAAAAACAGGGGTAACACCCAAATTTTCTGCCAGATGTCCTTAGCAAGAAAGTGATTGTACCCACTCACTTTAAAGTATTTATTATGCTTCTATAATTGCATAAAGTATTGGAAAATGAGAGGACCTGATGGTCATTCAGTTATGTTTTCCTACTCTTTTCGAGTGAGATTTTTAAACCCCCTGTATCAACAGGGTAAAGCCAATGTGTAGTTTGGAAAATTCAAATAATTTCAGTGATAGGCTGATGCGTATTTAAAGAGCTTTTTAGGTTGAATGAAATATCGGCTTAATATACAAGTGGCAAACGATTTTAGTTGTCATCAAAAAGGGTGTGTTGTTACATGTTGCAAAAAGAGAGATGCACACACTAGAAATGACACTGGTCAACGTAGGTAGTAAAGTCATGGGAATGATCGATCAAAAAGTTTCTTTTGGTTTCCAACATCCATTTTTAATTGGCCATCTATACTTTCTTTCTATAACTCCTATTCCCTAAAGTTTTGATAGGAGCCATGAAATCAGAACAAAAGATATATCAAAGACATAAAAAGCATTTTAATGTAATCTATCATCATCAAAATCAATAATAATTGTTTCCATCCACAAAATACCTGCTTTAACCTGTCATTGGCCCTCTACAGTCTACGGAATCACAAAGCATGAGACAAACAATATGATGAAAAACTTATTAAAGAAACCACATAACTGCATTGAACGAAAATTGAGCAGATGCACATGAAAATGAAACAATTACATTTATCTTCAATGTGTCCTTCTCCAGGAGACACCCATGAATTCGTTGATCCTTCCATAGTTACTGCTTGATCATTTTGATTGCCCACGGCGTCCAATGATTTAGCTGGAGATGCACTTGTACCATCATTTATTACTACTTCTGCCCGTGAATCGGGTTCCACTAATTTTTCCTCTTTATAAGTCACTTCCTGCTCAGGTCCAGGAGTCCCGTGAGTCAATGGTTCTGCCGAGGAGCTGTCTACAAACCCATCTGGCAATGAATATGCTTCTGGAAGCTGATTCGCTTGCTGGTTCACATTCGAGTTTGTGTTTTCCATTGTACCTACATACATGTCCCGCATAAAAACCCTCCTCTTCCGTAAACAACCTGTACATTTCACATTTTCAGGAATTTAAAGAAAGGAAAAACAAAAACCCAAGCAATTAGTTGCAATCAATTATAATCTAAACAATTTAAAGGCTAGTATGTGTGGAAAACAAAAAATCAAACACGTGTTATGATTCTGTTGTAAAAAAAATTGGTTAATTCACCACATACATACACAAGAAGACAAAACGATGCATAGACACACTGAGAAGATGCAAAGATTTGAATTTTGCAGTACCTGAAAGAGTCGGTGAAACGGATTTGAATCAAGATTCAAGAGTAAAATGGGGAGCTGAAATAGGGTGAGCAATACCCCCATGGCTCGAGTAATTTTTGAACTTTATTTCTAACGCCTGTTTGTTTGGGAATCAAAGTAAAAATCAAATAATCAATATTAACCACATTTTTCATGGATATCACAACTTTTCAACCATATATTTCAAAAACTACTATCACAATTTACTAAAAATTTAATTTTAATCAACACCAAACACCCTCTAAATTTGGAGTATTTTTAAAGAATGTACATTAAGACTTACATTCCTCTCGAACCCCCTACCATTGTAAGAGGAGTGTAATGCATGATATACACCCAAGTGTGTACATCAAGCATTGCTCATTTTTAAAGGAAAATCATCATTGCCCCGTTTGAACTTGTACTTGTTACACTGAGTTAAAATTATAATTTATTTTTTCTTCGGTCACTTTTTCAATAAAATAAATTTAAAAAAAAAAAATCTTCTTTTCCAATCACGCACTTTTCTAAAAATTATTATTTTTCTCATTATAATGTGAAATAATGTAATTTTTACAAATTGTTGAGTTGTCGAGAAAAAAAATATGGAAAAGTTTTTTATTATTTAGTTGATGCGATTTTATTCCAATCAAATTTTATCACATCATCTGTTGATAAATAAATCTGTAAGTTGTGATGTCCCCACTTGTTAAAAAGAGCCTAGTCAAGCCATTGAAATTTTGTTTATGTCTAACTTACTCCAAATAAGTTTTTAAGACCTCTTTTGTGTTAAATTGTTTAAATTATCATTTTTTATATTATTCATGGTTTAAATGCCCTTGAAATAAAATGGCTATAATACTCTAGTCGTTGAGAAAAAAATAACTGCGGTAATTTTCTCAACGATATTCGTTTAAAACGAGCATCTCATCTTTCATTATATATGATGATTTAACTTTTCAAAATCAATTATAAGTCGAATACTTAAAAATTGAATATAATATAACTAAACAATGTATAGTAGAGCACGATGAGTTTGTCTTCCTATATGTCTTTAAACGAAATATGTTGAAATCAAACATGCTCTAAAAGATTTGAAGTTTGATCAACATCTTGTCCTTCATTATACAAGATGGTTTAACTTATTGAAACCAATTATAAATCATATACTTAAAAATCGAATATGGTCTACTTAAACATGATAGTCGAAGAATAACTAACTAAGAGGAGGTGATTTGGTTTTTTGAAATTTTTTCGAAAAATTATTTCAATTAAGCACAAACACGTTATTGAATCAAGTAATAATCGTAAGCAAAAAATAAATAAAAGGGTAGAGATGATGCAAAGATATATTTATGAAGGGTCAATCTAAACCAATTATCTACGTCCTCCATTACTAAGTTTTCCATCACGAGCAAGACATTTTCACAATATTGATTGACTTATAGTGTTTTTCAAGCTCTTACAACGCTTCCGATGATTTACAAACAAGGGGTATCAATCCTTATACAATATCGACCTTTCAACGGACCTCAATATGACCCAAAGATATAAAAAATAGTTTTACAATGAAATTTCTCTCCTAATGAATGATAACAATAAATTAAATGCCAAGACAGAAAACCACTTCAATAAATAATAATAGATAATAGTTCAAGTGTTAGATGAGATAACTTTGATGAATGTGATGATATAAAAGTTTGATTCAATCCATTAAAGATTTTGATACGAAGAAGTAGAAGAAATAAAGCCATTTAAGTTCAAAGATTGGCTCAAAATATATCTCTCTTTAATGTACTTGAAAGACCTTTAATTGACTGCAAAAGGGAAATATATTTATATAGGACAATTTACAAAAAAAAAAAAAAATTGTCCAGTCGGACGAGTGATTAATCAATCGGTAAAATATAGTCGTTGAACAAAAGGCACAGATGTCAAAATGGTCAAATTTTAAACCATTTCATTTCCGGATGACCTTCAGTCGATCGGTCTAGTTTGACCAGTTCATCATATTGGTTTTCTCGGTTTGGCCATTTTGATCCGATCCGAATATTTTGAAAATGTGGACTTTTGAAAAGTGTTTTTAAGTAATTTTTTACGTTAAATAATGTTTCAAATATATGATATGAGTTCAAATATTATTTTGTAAATCAATTTTACATTTGATCAAATTGTTTTATGCAATTGATATTAAGATACCTTTTTGGTGCATAAATTAGTTATTGAACTTTTATCATTCAATGCTAAAGATCAAAGTATTAGTATCTTTACATTTGGTCTAAAAAGCTTAGTCTTTGATATTTTTTTGAAGTTCGGCTCTTAGGCTCTAGTCTAGATATTTTTTATTTTTTGAAGTTCGGATTTTAATCTCATGTTGAAGGATTTTGCCTTAAATGCTTGGAAGATTTGACTTCGATATTAAGAGCTCTTGTGTTGAAGAACTTAAATGCTTGAAAGATTCGACTTCGATATTAACCATTCTTGTGAGTCCGATACGTAATGAGTCTAGATTGTGACTTTCGACAACGATCGATCGACTTATTATAGAATGCTTTGAAAACTATGATCACTTAAATTCAAATGTTAATAAATAAAATTAACTTTTTTGTAATGATCAAAACATTAAGGTGAAAGTCAACCATACGTCAATAAAACATTGTAATGAAGCAAGATGAATTGTATATAACAAAAGTTCAGCTTTCTATACATTTTTCAATGTTCTAAAAAGCGTAAAACGTGGTTAGGCATGGAGGTCAAGCTTCAAGTTTTACGAGCCTAGGCGGACCTAGGCGAAGCTTAGGTGTAAAAAAGAGTTTTTTTATTTTAAATTTTTGATCGTTGTAAAAAAAATTCAACAATTCAAATAATACATACCAAACATTTAAAATTATAAAATACTGCATTTATTCAATAATTCCTTCATAAAGTAGTTTGAAATTTAGATGTTGTTGAGGAATCATCTTCTTCCATTAGTTTCTAGAAAAAAAGAAAAACAATGTAATTGTTTATTATTTACAAAATCCAGACCCAAGAAGCATATGAACGTGAAAACAAATGAAAATTTAGTTACATAAACAGTTAAACACTGATTGGGCCTCACGTCAAGGGCTAAAAGGTATTCTTGATTAAATTTCCAAATTTTTCTACAGGAGTTATTCCACATTCAATTTGGAATCATTGCCATGCATCAGATTTATGAGGGCTACAAATTACAATTGACTCTCTCGAAGTCTGAAACCGATATGTCATATGTATATACAAAATAAAAATTCACAACAAATGATTTTCGATTAATTACAGAAGCTCGGATTACAATTTCAGACGACTTCTTAATTGCAGAAGCCCAGATTACGTTTGCCCATTTTCACTATTGAATCATTGATAAATGCAAAACACTTCTATTCTGAGTTGTATAACTTCACTATTTGATAATAATCTTAATTGCTGTGGGTTATATTTAAAAATGAGAGAAAATTTGGGCCTCCAAAGCGAAAGTGCGCTAGCTGCATAGGGCCCCTAAGCGCTCCTAGGCGTGCCTAGGAGCGCTTTAAGCGGTCAACGAGCGGTCAACATTGTCGTTGACTGCTTAATTACCGCTTAGCCTCAAAGCGAGGCATTTTCATCAAGCTTCGAGCCCTAGGCGAGCTTTTTAGAACAGAGACATTTTTAAATGAAATATGTTGAAAACAAAGACGGTCTATGAGATTACAAGTTTGATTGACATTCTTTTATTATACATGATGGTTTAACTTATCCAAATCAATTGTAAGTTGTATATTTAAAAATCAAATACAGTATATACTTGAACAATGTGTAATGGAATAAGATGAATTGTATATAACAAAGTTCGTCATCCTATAAATTTATAATGAAATAGGTTGAAATCAAATATTGTCTAAAAAGTTATGCATTGATAGGCATCTCGTTTTTCATTATTTATGATGGTTTAACTTATCAAAATTACTTGTAAGTCGTATACTTAAAACTGAATACGATACTTGAATGGTGTGTCATAGATCACGATGAGTTGTATATAACGAAAATGTCTTTTTATTCATTTTTAAATGAAATAGGTTGAATTAAAACACAGTTTAAAAGATTATGAGTTTGATTGGCATCTCGTCTTTCATTATGCATGATAATTGAACTTATCCAAATCAACTATAAGATGTATACTTAAACATCGAATACAATATACTTGGACAGTGTGTAGTGGAGCACAATGAATTTTATATAATGAATTTCTTCTGTTTGATAATGCAAATTTTAGCTTTAGTTGAGAAAGGAAATGAGAAGAAAAGCTGATTAAGGATATAAATGAAATGGAAAGATGATATTCTTTGATAGGTTTGAAAGGGTAAAATACGAAATAGCAATATTAATATTTTGTTCACATTTTTTGTATGTAAATTGTGGCCAAAGGCTAAATTTTTTTTTTTTGGAAAATGCTAAGGGTACATAGCCCTTACATGACACCTTTGTTAGCATTTCCCAAAAAAATCCATCCAGGTCAAAAGGCTCTTTTCCACCATTCTTGCATTTCTATATTCTCTCTCTTTTTTTTCTTTTTTTCCTCAAATTCATTTTCAATCATACATTCTCATAATCCTCCTAATGAAATAATTTCATCCATAAACCCTTTTTTTTTTTTCAATTTTAACAGCATATTCTTTAAAAAAATCAATATTACAAAACCCACTTTTAAAGAAATATTGGACTCAAATATAAACTTAAATAATTTATTTTATTAGCAAAATCATTGATTTACTAACTAAAAAAGTGATTTTTAAGAAATTTTAATAAAAAATAATAAAATATGCCATTGAAAAGTTATGAATTTCATAAAATATATTATTAAAATTAATTATTAACTTTAACTTAAATTTTTAACATAATTTTAAGTGAGTAAGGGCTAGATAAGTGCAAATAAATAAATGGCTTCTTTTATTAGTAAAATCATTGAATGTGGAGTTAACTGTCCCAATAATCACTAAATTTATGTCTGTGTCTTCAATCACTCACTAAAGCTTCAAAAGTCAAGTTTGGCAACTAAACTAATCAAAATGTTGGATGTTACTCATGGC